CCTGACTAACTGTCCCAGAATCATTCTATATATCACTTACCTGACTGACTGTCCCAGAATCATTCTATATATCACTTACCTGACTAACTGTCCCAGAATCATTCTATATATCACTTACCTGACTGACTGTCCCAGAATCATTCGATATATCACTTACCTGACTGACTGTCCCAGAATCATTCTATATATCACTTACCTGACTGACTGTCCCAGAATCATTCTATATATCACTTACCTGACTAACTGCCCCAGAATCATTCTATATATCATTTACCTGACTAACTGCCCCAGAATCATTCTATATATCACTTACCTGACTAACTGTCCCAGAATCATTCTATATATCACTTACCTGACTAACTGCCCCAGAATCATTCTATATATCACTTACCTGACTGACTGCCCCAGAATCATTCTATATATCACTTACCTGACTAACTGTCCCAGGAATCATTCTATATATCACTTACCTGACTGACTGCCCCAGAATCATTCGATATATCACTTCCCTGCTAACTGTTATTCATTCATTCTTTATTCATTATTTATCCCATCTTGAAACATCCAATGCAATTTGCTGCATAACCAAATGTGTGCGATATTTATTTTTCTTTTCTCCACACTCTCATTAAAGCCAGGCCTTCACAATATCAACATTCTATTTACAGATTATTTGCGTGTCATTTGTTAATGCTACTGTAAGATGTAAGGATGTTAAATCTTTCTAAATAAATGTTAAACAGTGTATATATTTATTGTGTCAGTCAGATCCTGCTGGCGAGCTGAGAGGGTGGAATTTGCATGAGGGGGCTGAGCCCATCTAAACATCTATTTGTTTAAAGGTTAACATTGTTTGAGTGATCCTCAAGGGGGCGAGGGGAGTGCAATAAGTAAACTGTTGACTAATGCAAACTTCCATGCTGTTCAGTTCTGGGATGTTTTTATGAGGGATTTAAGGGGCTTATTTGAAGAGAGCTCAGGGAACATATATTTAAGACCAAAGAGCTTACAGCGGCTCTGTCTGGGAACCCCAACGTGTACATACTACCGTCTTTTACACCCTAAGGTGGGGCCACGTACAGGAAATCAAATCTTTTTAAATGTTTACCACATCCTGCTTAGCTTAAAAACCGTTCCGATTTCATGACAATTAACATATAATAAATATCACCCTCAGTACCACGCAGCTATTACAGCATGAGCATTTTACTTTGATTTTAAAAAAGAGAAAGGTTTACCACTTGTAAACCTTTCCTTTACAGGTCGATAGCAGAGATTACCATACTGTGTGATTACTAAAAAATATTTTTATACTTTTTATTTTTTTGTACATCATTATTTTATTGGCTTTTACTGTCCTCATTTTAGGAGAAAAGTTTTTATGTGATGAAACAGGAGGAGTTCATGCCTGGCTAGGAGTACTGGGATTGAATCATTCAGATCTCTGGAGCCCTGTTTTGTGACATTTCACTGGAACAAGGAGAAGATTATCAACTGACTTGTAAAATTAAAACTTAGAAAACAAAGTTAGAGATAGAGTTGGAACTTTTTCCCTGCTCTGCCATTTGGGTCACAGTTTTACAAATTGGTTATTTGTCACTAAGTCACATTGGTGTCTGTTCTAAATTGTCATTCTAAAAAACCTTGATATCAGCTGCTCTACAATCAGGGAGCTCCCGGTTTACTAGTCTGGAATTTGGAGTCAACATCCCATTAAAATCCACTAAGATTATGTCAGCAGAGCTGTGAGTGGCTCAGTTAAATGTGAGTGTCGAGAGTTCGACGCCAGGCTAATTTGGTAAAACTGACTTAGGTTTAGATCCTTATATCATTGTTCAGACTTTCTATTTAGCAGTTAGGTCAGCAGACTGGCAGAACGGTGTGAATTCTGTGGGCAGCTGACTTGTTGGCTTGGTTCTAATGTAGAACACATCTTTTTAGAGATATCTGGATTTTGAAAAGGAGATGATTTTTTTTTATTTTGGAATGTAAAAGATGTGCGTATGAACAGCTTGTTATTAGATATCCTTTAGACATTAGATAATGTACCAGATAAACTGGGTTAACACATTTAGACGAACGCCATGCACATTTTAGGGAAATGTATGTGTGCAATTCAGGAGAGAACGTTCTTGACCATTTCTGACTTCAAGAAAACCTTATATACATTGTAGTGGGAGTGCTTGTTATTAGATATCCTTTAGACATTAGATAATGTGCCAGATAAACTGGGTTAACACATTTAGACGAACGCCATGCACATTTTAGGGAAATGTATGTGTGCAATTCAGGAGAGCACGTTCTTGACCATTTCTGACTTCAAGAAAACCTTATATAGCTAAAAGTCTGAGAATTGTCTTTTTCTTGGCAAATTGCACCAAAAGACTTAACAGTTTCCTGTTTGTTTTTTTTCCTCTTTATCTCTTACTCGGCTTGGAAAAAGTTCAATTGATGCATTGCTGTGGAGAGTAAACTGTATTCTCACTGCTCATTTGTTTTATGGGCGAATGCCTGAGTTCTGGAGTGATGTCCGAGGTGGAATCCGGCTCCTTACTAAACTCCCTCGAGCCTCCAAATGGCTTCTAGTACCACACTCATTGTGTTAATTATTGGTTTTGCAACTGGCTTTCTATAACGCAGTTAGTTTACACTTCGCGACAAGTGGGGGGAAAAGTCAACAACATAATGTGTGTCAACTAGTTCTTCAAGTAGTCTTATCACTAAGGAGATTAAGTATAGCCATTAAATCCACGATTATTTGGGCAGTCGTTTTGTTCTCCCACTTCCACTTCTCTAACTATGAAGTCGATGAATGTTACGTTCCTAACAAACTTGTGTGGAATCACGTTGAAGATCTGGGTTGTAGATCGCCTGTGATTGGAGGTTTATGACGAGAACATTTTGAATCAGAATGAACATTGTAGAAATTCTGTGATCCATGCAATGATCTTTAATTCAAAGATACTTACTTCAACCTTCTCCCAAAATTCAAAAAGCAACAATAGGCGCCGTGTAACTAAAATTATAATTGAAAGTATTTTGTTTAGTAAAAGCAGACGTAAAGACCATATATATGTGTGTGTATTTTACTATAATTATCAGTTAACTTGTGAAAAAGGCTTTGTATATTTATTTGCTTGATTTAATATAACTAGCGCAATAGACAAATTACACAATTCTCTTCAAATAATCTAATTGAATAATGCAATAGCCCTGGGAGCCTGCTTAATGTCTGCGTAAACTGCAATTGTGTTCCAACAGTTCACACCTGTCACAGGTGTGACTTATATATTGCTGGAACTGTCTCCTGTGAATTGGCACACGGCCCCTCTGTTTGTGTGGGATTGTCGGTATGTGTGTTTGTCTGCGTGTGCTTATATGGGGAGATGTATGCATTTCGGATGTTTTTGTGTTAGGTGGAATTATAACGTGTATTATAAATTATTCTGTAAATTATCAGACGTATGGTTATTGCTAGATACATGTCATATTTATGTTTATTTCTTATTTCCATGACAACGGACTGTTCCGGAGATAGCTCTCTAATCTCTTGTTTAAACTCCTTGTATGAACACGCCGCCTGTCTGTCATTTGTCAGTTTCTCACTCCATACGCTTTGTTTTTCTTAGTGATTGTGATACCATTTTTAACCAGAGTATTAGTTAGAATGATAAAGTTTGATCAGGACTAATTAAACTATAAAGGGTCAGAAACGCAGTGTGCATGCAGTGGACAGCATTGTCTGGTATTATGTAAGTTCTGCCCACTTACTGTCTCACTAGGTAAGACTTTAATTCAGGGTCTCCTCCGTCTTTTAGCAAATTTCTATCTGTTGCTGAAAAAGAGCTATTTTACATAATTCTTCTGATTGATGAATAGTATCGAGATGAGTACTCTAATCAGTGGTATTACAGTAGGAGTACTCTAACTGGTGGCATTGCAGTGGGAGTACTCTAATCAGTGGTATTACAGTAGGAGTACTCTAATCAGTGGTATTACAGTAGGAGTACTCTAACTGGTAGCATTGCAGTGGGAGTACTCTAATCAGTGGTATTACAGTAGGAGTACTCTAACTGGTGGCATTGCAGTGGGAGTACTCTAATCAGTGGTATTACAGTAGGAGTACTCTAACTGGTGGCATTGCAGTGGGAGTACTCTAATCAGTGGTATTACAGTAGGAGTACTCTAACTGGTGGCATTGTAGTGGGAGTACTCTAATCAGTGGTATTACAGTAGGAGTACTCTAACTGGTGGCATTGTAGTGGGAGTACTCTAATCAGTGGTATTACAGTAGGAGTACTCTAACTGATGGCATTGCAGTGGGAGTACTCTAATCAGTGGTATTACAGTAGGAGTACTCTAACTGGTAGCATTGCAGTGGGAGTACTCTGATCAGTGGTATTACAGTAGGAGTACTCTAACTGGTGGCATTGCAGTGGGAGTACTCTAATCAGTGGTATTACAGTAGGAGTACTCTAACTGGTAGCATTGCAGTGGGAGTACTCTAATCAGTGGTATTACAATAGGAGTACTCTAACTGGGAGCATTGAAGTGGGAGTACTCTAATCAGTGGTATTACAGTAGGAGTACTCTAACTGATGACATTGCAGTGGGAGTACTCTAATCAGTGGTATTACAGTAGGAGTACTCTAACTGATGGCATTGCAGTGGGAGTACTCTAATCAGTGGTATTACAGTAGGAGTATTCTACCAAGTGACATTGTAGTGGGACTGCTCTAACTGGTGGCATTGTAGATGGAGTACTCTAACAGGTAGCATTGCAGCGGGAGTGCTGTATCCTGTGGCATTGTAGTTGGGGTAATATAACCAGTGGCATTGTAGTTAGAGTACTCTAACTGGTGGCATTGTAGATGGAGTACTCTAACTGGTGGCATTGTAGTTGGAGTACTCTAACTAGTGGCATTGTAGTGGGAGTAGTCTAACTGGTGGTATTGTAGAGGGAGTATTCTACCAAGTGACATTGTAGTGGGAGTACTTTAACTGGTGGCATTGTAGATGGAGTACTCTAACTGGTGGCACTGTAGTTATAGTACTCTAACTGGTGACATTGTAGATAGAGTACTCCAACTACAATGCCACCAGTTAGAGTACTCCATCTACAATGCCACCAGTTAGAGTACTCTAACTACAGTGCCACCAGTTAGAGTACTCCCACTACAATGCCACCAGGTAGAATACTCCATCTACAATGCCACCAGTTAAAGTACTCCCACTACAATGTCACTTGGTGGAGTACTCCCACTACAATGCCACCAGTTAGAGTACTCCAACTAGTGGCATTGTAGTGGGAGTACTCCAACTACTGGCATTGTAGTGGGAGTACTCTAACTGGTGGCATTGTAGTGGGAGTACTCTAACTGGTGGCATTGTAGAGGGAGTATTCTACCAAGTGACATTGTAGTGGAAGTACTCTAACTGGTGGCATTGTAGGTGGAGTATTCTACCTGGTGGCATTGTGGTGGGAGTACACTAACTGGTGGCATTGTAGATGGAGTGTTCTACCTGGTGGCATTGTGGTGGGAGTACTCTAACTGGTGGCATTGTGGTGGGAGTACTCTAACTAGTGGCTATGTAGTGGTAGTACTCTTAATGGTGGCATTGTAGAGGGAGTACTCTTCCTAGTGGCATTATATTGGGAGTACTCTAACTAGTGGCATTGTAGTGGGAGTACTCTAACTGGTGGCATTGCAGTGGGAGTACTCTTAATGGTGGCATTACATTGGGAGTACTCTAACTAGTGGCATTATATTGGGAGTAATCTAACTAGTGGCATTGTAGTGGGAGTACTCTTAATGGTGGCATTAGAGAGAGTACTCTTCTTAGTGGCATTATATTGGGAGTACTCTAACTGGTGGCATTGTAGAGGGAGTATTCTACCAAGTGGCATTAAATTGGGAGTACTCTAACTGGTGGCATTATATTGTGAGTACTCTAACTGGTGGCATTGTAGTGGGATTCTATGTCATGTGAACAATTTAAGCCATGTAATAAATATCAATATTATTATTAAAATTAATAGTTATATGAACACATATATATCCAGGAATGCCATTATATATCCAGAGATAAACAGTTCCACGCTGTACATACCACTCACTAACACATGTGGACACAGTGGCCTTGTATTATAAAGCTAGATACGCATTAGTCTGGCTTCTAAAATAGTGTGCCGGGACCTATCATTACCCGTTCCTTGTCACCGAGGAAAATGACACAGTCACAGATATTTCTGTTTGACATCTACAAATATATGTCAATAACTGTACATTGTATGTGGTTCTTCTACATCTGACACTATATGGGTATGAAATCACGTTTATCATCATTCTGTAGTCTTTATTGCTCTATCAAGCAGAGCATCATACAAGATCCAGAATGTCAGTGAGCATGCTGCACTATAGTTCCCATAAACTGTTGTCTGATGAGCTGTAATCTGACTTTCTATCGCAGTTGTACATTAATCCTATACCATCACGTTTTAATGAACGTTGTGACACGTTTGGGTTGTTTACTGCAATGTATATTTTAGCAGTATTCTTGGTGTCTGAATTCTAATCTTATGATTTAGCTTTGTAGAATGGTCAACATGTCAAGGCATTTCCCACAACTGTGGTTGCACACCAAGAAATTACCTTTTATTTACCCCAGTATTGTATAACTTTGTATACATAATTGTGTTCCATACCATCTATTGTCTATTCTTTATGTCCCCTAAATTCAAAGAGATGGTCAACAATCCCATCTTACATTTAGACCTGCAGATCCTTGATGCTGTTCGGCATGGCCATTTCTTGGTGGAGCTAAAATGCCCCATGTGACGAGGACCAGGTGAGAGGGTTCATCTTCTCTCTCTTTCGAAATGTGAGAGCTGTGCAATTTGCCGGGGCAGATGAGGGCAGAGAGGAAGGAGGGGGTCATGCTGGTTTCATGACATTCATAATAAATGAAGTCCAATGGACACTCTATTAAACCTTTCCAGAGTCTGTGCTCCAGGGAGGGGCTGTGCTGCTATTGCATGGCTGACGAGCTCCTTTCTGGCTCATCTTTTGCTGTAACTCAACGTAGGGATTCGTGGAGGGTGGCCAAGCATCCTTCTCCTCTTCAGCAGCTGTTTCTATTCCTGGTTGCCCTTATTCCTTGGCGGTCCTTTGTATCTTAAAAAGTTTGCTTCCTTTTAGCTATTTAGGTAGTCTTTGCTGCTTTCTTCACACAGCCCACACCTCTACATGCTTTTTAACTTTCTATTTATCTTTTTAAATTTAATACCATTTCTACTTTTCCAAACCTTCCCCTCCTTGCGTCTTCAATTCCCCCGTTCTTCCCCCCCTTCCCAAACCCAAGCAATATCTTTTCTTTTAGGCCCCGATCCTCTCCAGATTGGGACCCTTAAGCAACCTCCACCTTTTGTCTCTTTTGAATGAAAAGAAAAAAAAATAGAGAAGGGGGCCAGAGGACATGTATAAAGAAAAACGACCTGAGGGGCAATAGTCTCTTGAGCCAGCTCGCTGCATTACAATGAATACGGACTCTATTAAGCCTCGTTCTGCCTGTTTAGTGTTTCCAGGGGCAACACAGCCCCCATATGGAAAGCATGCAGTGTATTATTGCAGGCATCTAGGCCTCATTGTAGGCAGAATCCATGACTGGCAGTTGAGCCCCCTCCTCACACTTGACACTGCTTGTGTTTATCTAATGCATAGAGGGGGGGCTGTTAGCTGGTGTATTGTCCCATGTTATGAGAGGAACGGAGGGAGGGATGCAGGAAAAATAAAAAGGTGGTGTTGGTTGTGGGGGTGAGGAAGAGAGGAGACCTCATGAATATTCAAGAACCATCTTGAATAGACCCCAGAAAAAAAAGCAGATGGAATTCATGTTGAGGAACATACCCGCACCTTACTATTAAATCAGTGAGCCCCCCTTGCAGTCTTTTAGTTTCATAGCGTCCCTGGAGTGTGGGAGTCCTAGTTATCCAATTAGCAAGGTTGTCAAGTTGAGTTGATACTGAGCGAGAGAACATAAATTAAATGGAGTTAGCAGAAAAAAAATAAAAGCAGAGGGGAAAAAATCTAAACAAAACTTCTTTCTTTTCTTTATCTTTGTTTTTTTTTTTTTTTATTGTATTGTAGACTTGGTCTTTATACTGTTATGGGAAAAGGTTTAACAAAAATAAATGTTGGGATTTACAGATAGAAGGTATGTGAATTGCAAGCTTTGTTACCATCAAAGGTAACGTTCCTGTGCAAAGCTGGGCCATGGTTGATGCGTTGTGGGAGTTCGCTGGATTGACTCTTAAGGCCTGAGAGGTTTTATGAAGTTCCTGATTTTTAATCCAGTGCTATCTAATAGAACTATCTTGCAACCTGGTCTCATAAAACTGCTTAACACATTTATTGTTTTTAGCTACTTGGTTAAAAAAGATCATTGCCCCTGGGAGCTGAACACTGAAACTTGTTTTGAGCTTTTCGTAGCAGACTTCAGATGAAAATTATATTAATTCAGACACAGAATAATGAACTGTTCTACAAGGTGGTCTGAATGTTTTTATGCATTTGACTTTTGTGGTATGGGCTGGCCGGCCTTCCTTTTAACAGCCAGCGTTAGGCGTAAGCAATGTCAAGACAAAGCTAGCGGTATGGCAATGGTGCACAGTCTGTGCCCTGTCTGCTGCTTTTATCTCAACACATCAGAACATTCTACCAGATCTTTTTGCAGGTTTTCTTTTCTTTTTCTGCGCTTTGTTTTTTTCTGTGTGAACTGTGCTAAACCCATTATTTCCTCCCCCAAGGGGAACCTGTATCTTACCTTATTACTATACCATATCTTACTATTATTATATAATGCCATACCACACCATTATCATACTATACTATACCATACCATATCAATATCATACCTTACCATTATCATACCATATCAATATCATACCTCACCATTATCATACCATATCAATATCATACCTCACCATTATCATACCATATTAATATCATACAGCACCATTATTATACCCTATCAATATTATACCATACCATTATCATACCATATCAATATCATACAGCACCATTATTATACCCTATCAATATTATACCATACCATTATCATACCATATCAATATCATACCATATCAATATCATACCTCACCATTATCATACCATATCAATATCATACCTCACCATTATCATACCATATTAATATCATACAGCACCATTATTATACCCTATCAATATTATACCATACCATTATCATACCATATCAATATCATACCTCACCATTATCATACCATATCAATATCATACCATATTAATATCATACAGCACCATTATTATACCCTATCAATATTATACCATACCATTATCATACCATATCAATATCATACCATATTAATATCATACATCACCATTATTATACCCTATCAATAGCATACCTTAACATTATCATGTCTTCTCATTATAGTGCCATACCAATAGCATACCTTCTTATTATAGTGCCATACCCATATCACACCTTACCATTATCATACTATACCATACAAGTATCATACCATGTCAATATCATAGAATAGCAATATAATGCCTTACCATTACCATACCATACCATACAATTATCATACCAAAACAATATCATACTATATCATACAATTTTCATACCATATCAATATCATATAATACCATTATAATGCCTTACCATTACCATACCATATCAATATTGTACCATACAAATATCATACCATATCAATATCGTACCTTACCAATATCATACCACACCATTATCATACCATATCAATATCGTACCTTACCAATATCATACCACACCATTATCATACCATACAAGTATCATACCATATCAATATCGTACCTTACCAATATCATACCATATCAATATCGTACCTTACCAATATCATACCACACCATTATCATACCATACAAGTATCATACCATATCAATATCATATCCTACCAATATCATACCACACCATTATCATACCATACAAGTATCATACCACATCAATATCGTAACTTACCAATAGCATACCATATCAATATCGTACCTTACCAATATCATACCACACCATTATCATACCATACAAGTATCATACCATATCAATATCGTAACTTA